AGTAAGTAAATTGTTTTATTTGCCTTGAAAGTAGCTGTAACTTAATAAAACCTAGTAAGTATAACAACTAAGTAAAGATAACTAACTAAATCTAAGTAAGGTAAACTATTGGATTTTACAGTGCAGCACTATGGTATCTAGTACCATCCATGGTACAGCCATAGTACTTTTTTATAAGGACAGGTAAGCGGCTCACCATTTGAACCATTCTAATCAATTGCTGCAAACCAAAACCAACAAATTCATCCACAAACACATCTCTCTGCATACACAAACAAGCTGCTGTTTTCAGGCTGTCATAACAAACATCTAAAGTCTGATTTAAAGACATGCCAAGAAGCAGCTGAATATGTTGAGGCCGGGCGTATTTTGGCTTGATATTTCAGTTATAAAGTCTATGGCTCTGCTTTTCCACCTGATAAGCATAAGTCCCATTAATAACCAGTGTGGGGAAATTTACAGCTTGGTTAAAATGTTTAGCAGTTTGAAAAATGTAGCCTTTCATTTTTCAAAACTTGCTGCATTACTATTATCATTATTTTTGACAAGCTACAGGTTTGCTGTTGTTATGCCGTGTTTCTTCATTAGTGGTCAAAACTAATTTACTAACAGATTTGTCATCTGAAAAGTCACCGCATTCCTTTCTGTAGGGTAACATTTCCACAAATTCAGAAATCTTTATAACCTCAGAATCCTCTCATCATTCAGCAGAGATCAGATTTGTGTCTGCCATCAGTCACACGACATCATGCTCTTGTGGAAAAAGGATCACTCTGTGTTTGGAAGAGATAATAAACAAGTTTTATCTAACAAAATGTCACCCAAAAATGCTTTAACTCAAAACAAGAGGTTTTTAATGATATAAATGCTTACAATATTGTTAATAAATGATTCACATTTAGGTTTTGCATATGCAGAATATGATCTACAATTTACAAATAAAAGAATAAAAACATTTGAACATTTGCAAGGCTTATACATTTTGAGTTACTCCACTTAAACATGATTAAACATGAGGTAGAATCATTTAAACTTACTAAAATATATATTGCATGAAATTGGAAATGAGTTCTGCAAATTGATTGTTATGAAATGCCTCCACCTTCAGGCGAGCTGAAGAACTACAGGTCTGTAGATCCATTCATCAGTCTTGAATGTGATGCATTAAAGTGGGAAGATATCTGGGAACGTTGCATATAAAGAGGTGGAATGCTTCAGTTTTCCATTTTTGATTGCGGTCCCCATTCCTTCTTTCTTAACTCAACTCGCCTGATTTTCCCGCTAACCGTCTTGGGCAGGTGATCAACAAACTCAATCTGACAAAAAAATTAAAGTGAAACATTTGAAAGCTGGAACAAATTATTCCTTTTAATCTGGACTAAATTGAAAAGGTCTTCAGTGAAGTATTAAATGCAGAAGCACTGAATTCTAATGGTAAGTTACCTTGCGTGGATATTTATAAGGAGCCGTGATACCCAGCCAACATGTATATGTGGGCCCCACATGGTTTATGCTGGGTCTACATGGGTACCAAGTGGGCATGGTCCCAGGACTAAATTGAAAAGGTCTTCAGTGAAGTATTAAATGCAGAAGCACTGAATTCTAATGGTAAGTTACCTTGCGTGGATATTTATAAGGAGCCGTGATAGTCTTCACATGTGTTTGCAGTTCCTGGATCAGTTCCTTATGGTCTCTTGACTGTCAGCACTACAAAAGCCTTCACCACCTGAAACATGGAGCAGCACAATTTAAAAACATTTTACAGTTACAGTTTTGTATTCCATACGTATGATAATCATGGTTACAATTTTACATAAAATATTTTGCGCTGCATACTTACACACCATTTTAATGCATCATATGCGCTCTGCTGCTAATTATGGTACTACCTTATAAGTTGTAATTTTTGCCTAATTCTAAGATCACACTGCATGTATCCTTCATGCAGAAGGCAATTCCAGAAAGCACTGCGCTACATCTCCTCGAACCGGATCAGGGCTGCTGACCACAGCAGATTCTGCTACAGCTGGGTGCTCTATTAAAGCATTTTCCTCCTCAAATGGACCAATGCGGTACCTAAAACACACAGACACAGCATGAAATATGAGATTTTAAAATTTGACATCATCGTTATGATGAGCAGAATTCCGTGCCCTGCGGACAGGATGACATCATCAGCTCTGCCAATGAACCACAGGTATCCTTCACTGTCCATCATTCCCCTGTCACTGGTCATGTAGAACTCACCACGGAAACATTCTGCCGTGCGCTCTGGCGCCCCCTACAGGATGAATTTAGATCAATAAGTTTAATTAGTGCAACTCAAGCTCAAGAGCTTTATTTTTAGTACAGATTCTAATAACATGAGAACACATAAATGTACCGTATACTCTGTAAAAAGAGAGAAGGGTATGTCTGGTTTCACTCTGATGCCGAGGTCTCCCTCTTGTCCATGTGGCACAACAGAACCATCATCATCTACCACCTTAAAACCAAAATAGTCCACAGTTCACCTCATAGGAAAACAAGCCAATCCATCAGAAGGAAAAAAAAATCAATGACCTCAATTACCTGTTCGGAGACATGCCACATTAACCAGCCATCACCCGGGGACTCTAGGTAAGACGAGGAACACGCGATCCCCTCTTATTGATTGTACCTGTTCGGAGACATGCCACATTAACCAGCCACCACCCGGGGACTCTAGGTAAGATGAGGAACACGCGATCCCCTCTTTCCAAATTGCACACCTGATGCAGAACATTTGCAAGTTTTCTGGAGTGGAAGCCTAACTCCTCAAAACTCCATCTGACCTCCTCCCGGCTGTCATTCACCCACCACAGAGCTGGAAGAGACGACCTCTGCCCGTTCTGTAATATACAGCAACAACACATTGAACAATTTCACAAGTGCTGGCATTGTGAAATAACTGTATGGCATTAAAATGAATTAAGCAAATTGGGATACCAGTCTCCATAAACATTACATTATATAATACTACACTGATCAGTAGGTTAGTATATTCAGTGTACATGTGCTTCTGCTGCACTAATGTCACCAAACCAAATGGCAAAACGGCTACCAGTTATTATTCCTGCTTAAAACTGCCTTCATTTAAAAAAAAAAAGTTTTGGAACAACATAAGGTTTCGTAAATTAAGACACATTTATTTTTATTTTTGAGTGAACTAATAAAAGCCAGTTCCTTATTGGCATTATGCTCCAAGAAGTGAAAAAGAAAGGCACCTAATAATTATTAGTAACAGACCTGTCACGTTTTTGTGGTATTAGTTGGTTTCACTTATTTATAGAAATGGTATGATGACACCAATGTCAAAAGTACTTTAGCTCCTTATTTCCACAAAATAATTTAATTTAATTTATTTTTTGCATAAACTATCTAGTTGAGAAGCATGTAAAACTTCATGTTCAAATCCAAAATGTGCGAAAACTTACATTTTAAATGCAATTTAGTAAAAAAAAAAAAAATGAAATGATACATTCGAGTACAAGACATACATTTATATGAAACAACATAAAAACAGCCATTACTTTCCTGGTTTAAAAACGTTTAAGTAAAAAATAAAAACATACCATATTGATGGCAACTAAAACATTAAACATTTATAAATGACAGTCACAGACCTCATCTTTCTAAAACCAAATTACTATTAATACTATTAATAGAGGTATTTAAAAAAAAAAAAAAAAACCCGGGAAATTCTGAAAAGAGTGCTCAGTGTCTGAGACGAGTGCGTCGCGTGCGGGCGATGGGTGTCGTCACTTTAGGCGTCTCACTCTCAGCCATGACAGCATCTGAAAAAGAATCAAAATGAACCATGTTAAATTAGCATTTACATGTTACAGTGCTTTACTGCACATTTAACATGGAATAAATAAGAACTAAATGATAATCATGTTAAAGTGACTGACCCTCTTCCTCTTCTTCATCACTGGTGAAGGTGATGGCATGTTTGGGACGAGAGCAAGATTTCCTTGGGGTTACGAGGTCGCTGTCATTTAACTTCGGTTTGCCACGTCCTAAAGGATATAGAGATGAATGCATTATGAATTGTGTGAATACACAATGAGACGAATTCATAAAATAGAATTCTTTTGCAAGATCTGATTTGCTCGATCTCTTCACCTCGTGTGGTTTTGCGCACGCTCGTGTGGCTGCGGCGTTTGCATGTTTTGACTTTGTGTGTCTCCCATCTGCTGTTCTCTCTCCTCGCTCTCCACATTCTCTAGCCCTTTAGTGTGAACGGCTGTCAAACGCTTCTCATAGTCTTCAACCTGCGCCTAAACAAACACCGCTACTTTCAACAGTCATCAAGTCACGATCAATGCTCTGTTTGCACACTTATGTATAGTATGCCGTTTTGCTGCCACATATTCGCAAATGTAGTACCTTGAACTGTGATTTGGCTCTTCGACGAAGTTTGGCTGCAATGGACAGGAGTGGCTGATAGACTCCAGGCTCAGTGAGTTTATCACTGTAGCAGTCCCAGCACTCTTGCAGCTTTTTGAATCCTCGCTCGCACACAGACAACAGGGACAGAGACACGGCCAGATCTGCCCATTGACGCTCAGTCCTGCAAACAGGAGAAAGGACAAGGTACGTTTTTGGTATTAGTTGGTTTCACTTGTTTATAGAAATGGCATGATAACACCAATGTCAAAAGTACTTTAGCTCCTTATTTCCACAAAATAATTTAATTTAATTTATTTTTTGCATAAACTACACATGCAAATTCAAAAAGTACTGCATGAATGAATGTATAATAATGAAAAACGGGTTTCCAAATCATCCATTGCTCTCCTAAGGCCCGCCCCAAAATATTGGTAGAGAATAGCCTCAGGTTTTCTTATTGGCCAACAGACGCTGACCAGCTGCAGCATAAAAGCTGCCCAGACACAGTTCAGCTCCTTTTCAGCTTAGCAGGAATGACCGCCTACAAAACTAAAGTCCCGTTTCTAAACACTTTCTACACCTTCAGTTAAAACAGATTAACCAGATTCCTTCAATTTCCACACTACATGCTCACTCATGGATTCTTCTCAAGTTGAGAAGCATGTAAATCTTCATGTTAAAATCCAACATGTGTGAAAACTGCCATTTTAAATGCAGTTCATTAAAAACTGAAATGACAAAAACATTTATATGAACCAACAAAAAAAATAATAAAAAAAAAAATTTATGGTTTAAAAACGTTTAATAAAAAACCAACAGACACAGATATATCATATTGACAGCAACTAAAATAAACATTTAAAAATGACAAATAGTCACAGACCTCATCTGTCTAAAATCAAATTACATGGTAGAGGTATTTCAAAAAGCTGGAAATTCTTAAAAAGAGTGCTCAGTGTCTGAGACGAGTGCGTCGCGTGCGAGCGATGGGTGTTGTCACTTTGGGCGTCTCACTCTCAGCCATGACAGCATCTGAAAAAGAATCAAAATGAACCATGTTAAATTAGCATTTACATGTTACAGTGCTTTACTGCACATTTAACATGGAATAAATAAGAACTAAATGATAATAATGTTAAAGTGACTGACCCTCTTCCTCTTCTTCATCACTGGTGAAGGTGATGGCATGTTTGGGACGAGAGCAAGATTTCCTTGGGGTTACGAGGTCGCTGTCATTTAACTTCGGTTTGCCACGTCCTAAAGGATATAGAGATGAATGCATTATGAATTGTGTGAATACACAATGAGACGAATTCATAAAATAGAATTCTTTTGCAAGATCTGATTTGCTCGATCTCTTCACCTCGTGTGGTTTTGCGCACGCTCTTGTGTGGCTGCGGCGTTTGCATGTTTTGACTTTGTGTGTCTCCCATCTGCTGTTCTTTCTCCTCGCTCTCCACATTCTCCAGCCCTTTAGTGTGAACGGCTGTCAAACGCTTCTCATAGTCTTCAACCTGCGCCTAAACAAACACCGCTACTTTCAACAGTCATCAAGTCACGATCAATGCTCTGTTTGCACACTTATGTATAGTATGCCGTTTTGCTGCCACATATTCGCAAATGTAGTACCTTGAACTGTGATTTGGCTCTTCGACGAAGTTTGGCTGCAATGGACAGGAGTGGCTGATAGACTCCAGGCTCAGTGAGTTTATCACTGTAGCAGTCCCAGCACTCTTGCAGCTTTTTGAATCCTCGCTCGCACACAGACAACAGGGACAGAGACACGGCCAGATCTGCCCATTGACGCTCAGTCCTGCAAACAGGAGAAAGGACAAGGTCACATAAGGGAGGGAGACCCGGTCCTTCATACTGATCATCTGTCATAAAGGAGCCCAATCTCACAAATGTTGTCAGCAATGTTTTCCTGTGCACCATGAAAACTGCTCTCATCGACTATTTTTAAATTTGATTTTGGGTAACTACATCAGCCTAAGTTATCTTTGGACATGTTTGAAGTAGGCAAAATAATGGAAAAATCTTCTAAAACCAGGTTAAACTTTTCTGATTTGGCGATGAACAGGAAAGGTGTTTTTAGAGCACCATTTCCATTGGGAGACTGTGTAGGTCAAAATAAAGCAAATAGCATATTGTGTCTGATACCCACTTTGCAGTTCTGAATCGTTGGCAGAGCTTCTCCACTAAACTCTCTGTCTGTCTCTCTTTAGTGATGTAGGAGAAGAGTTGTCTGAAAGAGAAAGTTAAATAGAAGTGATTTATGGTTTGTCATGCAGAATAAGTTAAACTGCAATAGCAGCATAAATCATATCTCACTTCATAATGGTGTTGAAGTCCTCCTCCTTCATTCCACGTTCAGGATCAGATAATCGGCTGATGATGTCTGGCAGCAGGTTGTAAATCGCATTGTCCTGAAAAAAAAAAAAGCCAGAGAGTTATAATTAGGGCATCTCATCTTAGGAGGCATGAGGGGGATGAGAGAAAGAGAGACAGCAGAGCTGCAGTGGAACAGCTACCTTCGCAGAGAGCTCGTTGAAGAAGTTGAGAGCGAGGCTGGCGATGTGTGGCTCAGGGTCCAGCAGAAGCACTGCAACCTCACTGACCTGACCTTTGACCTTCATCACATCCTTCAGCACCAGCTGGGTCAAAACCATGATGGCAGTCAGCCGCACAGATGCATTATCATCACTCAACCTTAAGGCAAAGCAGTTCCAGTACTGATCATCAAACCACCACACAGTACCCTTTCAGGTTAAATTAGTGGAGTGCCCCAAAATGAAATGACTGCAATGTAATAGATTAAGCAGGAACTAGAATAAACTAGAACAACTGATTATGCAAAACATCCCTAGACCAGTGGTTGTTTTATCTTTTGGTTTGGAGCTACCTGGCATAAAGGTTGGGCGTCCAGGGTTCCAGGATGTTGGGAAAGCGGACTGTTAGGTCACCAAGAGCAACAATTGTGTTGGCCCTGACAACAGGAAGTGGGGATTTTTCCAGCACGGTGAACAGCAGCCGGATGTTGTCTTTGCAAACAGCAGGACTAGAGAAATAGACAAAGGATGTTAATATTTTATGGTTAAAGAAACAAATACGATATGACATAATACAATAAATAAACTTCCATTCAAAAGTTCAGGGATAGTAATATCAGAAAGATTTCTAAAGGATCATGTGACACTGAAGACTGGAGTAATGGCTGCTAAAAATTCAGCTTTGCATCACAGGAACAAATTACATTTTATAATATATTAAAACACAAAACAGTTATTTTAAAATGTAAATTATATTTCACGATCAACATTTACAACCTTGGTCAGCATAACAGGCTTCTTTCAAAAACATTTATAAAAACAGAAACATCTTACAGACTCCAAACTTTTGAACAGTAGTGCAATAGAAAATAATAGCAGATATACCTGATCATCATGTACTGAGATATAGCCAGGCAGGCAGCAGTGGTGAGCTGAGGGTGGGAATATTTCCCTGGAGAGCTGCAAACTTTCACCAGCAAAGGCAAAAATGCACTCAACATGTTCCCTTCTGCAATGAGAGACCACAGTTAAACAGGTATCAGTGCTTTAGTGCTTTGTGAACCAGGTAAGACCACGTTAATAAACATAAAATTATGATGCACGTTTATGAAGACTTAGTTCTCTTTATTCCAAGCTAAAACGTGTCAAAATAGTGAAGCAAACAGTTTCTCTAGATGGGCTCACCAGCTAATAACTCAGTATCACAGATCTTGCGGATAAACTCCACCTCAGTGTCCTCAGCCGAGGCGCCCACTAGCCCGAGCTCCTCTTCCACACAACTGTCATTAGCCTCCTAGCAAATGACACATATGTCAGTCGGCAGCAGTGTGCATTGGGCAACACTTAAATGTGATTGTACAGAAAACAGGTAACAACCGATCAGTGGACTGTCTTTATTAACCTTTTTGTTGGCAGGTGCCTTCTCTTTCTCCTCCTTCTCTTCCTTTTCTCCTCTCCTCCTCCGTAGCTCAGAGCTAACACTTCTCTCAAGGTGAGACACCTGCCAGAAGGCCACAGCTCCACAAAGTGACAGCACCTGTGCCAAGCTCACGCAATTCGCTAGAAAAAGAACAAGAATGTTACCTTTGCAATCATAAACAAATGTACACAAAAGTCGAGGGGCCCCTTATGCTCACCAAGGCCGCATTCATTTGATTTAAAAACAGTTAAGATATATAGTGAAACATTAAAATAATTCCAATAGAAAACAATTGTAGAACTTGTAAAATTTTCTACAGTAGTGCATATCAATTACACAGTATGCAAAAACTTTATAAAATAAGCTTTTTTTTAATCTCTTGTGATGACATTACCTTGCTCCTCAGAGCCCTGAGACCCGCCTTCCTGCAGTTGTGATTGGTTGGGCTCTCCGCACTCTGTGATTTGTTCCAATAGGAGATGAGCAGACCGTTGGAGGAGGCGGGAACACAGCTGGTCAGGGGACTCTGCCAGAAAGTAGAGGAGACGGACAGCCTGCTCCATGAAGGTCTGCCAATGAGGGTCGGACTGGACTACTCCTGATCAAATGAAGGTACAGTTGTTACCAAACAGCAGAAACGTATGAAAGAAACCAGATAAAAAATAAAATAAAAAAAAAGGGGGAATGAGAGAGACCACATGGGGGATAAAAAAAATGAGTGAATGGATTTTTAGATTTATATGCAAACACCATGTAAAAGTGAATTTTGCATCTGATGTCCCCTTTATGGGACACATGCGGCCACTTTGCATTTGCAGTGTAAAAGCCAACATGTCCAAAACAACGTAGGACCATCTACTCTCATGGAGAAAAAAAACCCTAAAACAAAATGGGATGTGTTGGGGGAAAGTATGGCAAAGCCTTTAAAGTTTTTGGTGCAGCATTTTATAAGAAACCAACAAAACTTGTGATCAGATTACCCAAGACAAAAGCTAGTAAGAGATGTGTAAACAATGGCAAAAAGAGCTAAAAGAACATACCATCAGCGATGGCTTGGGACAGACAGCTAAAGAGATGGTGGTCCACAGGAAGCCTAAAGGGAACACCCTTGGATTGCTGAGACACACAAGAGCATACAATTCAGCCTTTTAGAATAATTTCTGAAGGATCATGTAACACTGCAGTAATGGCTGCTGAAAATTCACTTTGCATCAAAGGAATACATTTTAAAATATATTTAAAACAAATTATTTTAAAGTATAATAGTATTTCACAATATTACCGTTTTACTGCATTTTAATCAAACAAACGCAGACTTGGTGAACATAAGAGACTTTTCAGGAAAAAAAAAAATTCTTACTGACCCCAAACCTTTGATTAGTATATACATAAAGTGTAAATGCATACCCTCACATGGTCTGTTATGTTAGCGATGGTGATGAGTGTGTCCCGAGCCAGCAGATAATCTTCTGCAACCTTCTCACCCAGAGCGACAGAGCAGAGTGTGTCCAAATTACTGAGAACCACCTCCCTCTCAGCACTAAACACACACACAAAATGAAGTTACAGATTGAAATAATGCACACCATGCCTTAAACAACATGATAAAGACAAGAACGCCCTCAGATTACAAAAGAACTAGCTCATAGCTCATTGGACATTACAGAGAACTGAGTTTCGACCTGTGTCCACACACACACAAAATGATCATCCTTCCCAAATCTCTCCTTCTCTCTGAGGAAGAGCTTGATAGGAAGAACTCGCTTTATGTTGGCTGGCCCTTACAGCAAAGCAGCAAATCTCCCCTGCCCAGCCAAGATTACCAGCCAATAGGAGCACAGAAGAGCTCAGACTCTTACCCAACAAGCTCACATTCGCCTTGGTCTCATCATTGGGCAACATTATTATTATGCTGTGACATTAAATCAGTTCAACAGAATCATTTTAAGACATCTGGGAAGCATTAAGAGTTGAGTGTCTCACCGTGCTGCCATGCCCAGCAATAGCACTGCAGCTCTCCTGTGAAGTGCTTTAGTCTCTCGTTTACCAGAGAACCTCTCCCACAAAACCTGCACCACTGAAGTCTGCAGGGCACTCTCACTGCTGAAAAACTCCTGGACCTGCACCAAGAGAAACACAATGTCAAAAGAAGAATAAATTGTGGGAATGCTAACATGTGGGGCAAAAAACACTCACAATCTCCTCCAGACACTGGACGGTCCCCAATGAAGCATCGATCATCAGATCTGACAGATTATCCACTAGAGTCTGAGCCTTTGCCCTGATGGACAGACACAAAAGGCCAGTTGAGCTACAGTATATTAAATTGTGTTCCTTCATCTTTATGAAATGAATCAAAATGATTGCAGACCTGGTGTTGTCACCGGGGGGGTTGAGGTACAGGCGCCTGTAAGCCTGGATGACGGTATCTTTGATTGTGACATCAGTGGACCAGACAAGAGGCAGCATCTTTCTGACTCCACACACGGAGTCGGCCACACTAAACTCAAATGCTGTGACACAGAACTGCACGGCCTCCTGCACAACTGAGAGAGAGACCAATCAGAGGAAACTACTCATTGTTAACCTTGCCATGATTGACAAGATCAGATGAAGACAAAGATCTTTTCTTCTGTATTGTTGTGTATATTAAGAGTAAAACGAATTATCGAAAAAAGGAAAAAAAAATGCTGGGCAGGGACTTGGTTCTAATCACCGGTTGTTAACTGGATGGAGGCAGAGTTGAATTAGACCTTGCAGTCAATTGTAAGAAAGGGGTTTAAGTGAACTAGATGATTGGGGAAGTTTGGCATATGTCACGAAAGAGCAGTCTTGTTTCTCCAGAAGATTGAGTTACATAATTTTGATTAAAAGGTAAATGGATGAAATGAAATGCATTTAGAAAATAGGTTGAATTTATTTCATGCAGATTTAATATAAACCAGACAGTCATTTAGTTTATAGTAATTACCTGTAGTGGTTTTCCAGTACAGCATGTTGTTAATGACAGCGATGGCTCTTTCTACTTGTAGAGCGAAGCTCTCTGTGTCTTTCAAGTACTGAACCAACATCTCCTGCTTCTTCAGTTCACTCTCTCCACCTTCATTCCCTCCACCCTCTTTTTGTGGGGTGGGTGGAGCATCGCTTGACATGGCTTCAGTTGTCTCCTGCTCTGGACCTGAGAGAAGAGAGATGCACATCAAACACAACTCATGTTATTATTTGGACTAGGAATCCTGTCATCTAATCTAGGCAGGTGAGACCATGAACAAGTTCCACAGTGCACTGGAGCAAAATTCTTTAATGTAGAAGTTTAGAAGACTATTCGAAGTAACACATACCCTTGAAAAGTGTTGCAAGTGTGTTGATGAGGGTTTCTGCATTTAAGACGGCCAGATCTGTGAAAAATGATGACTCTGGGAACAGGGAGTGAGCCCGCATGCACAGACCAACAGCTTTCCTACACACAATTAAACACATTGCATGTCTGTGTGCAGAAGTAAGGGTATGAGTATATTTGTGTTTTAATTTACACGAACCTGTATTTGCTTTCCCGGAGAAGCTGTGCGATTTGTAAAGCAGTGTCTCTGTCGCTTCTCTCCTCCTTTCCCTCTGTCTGCTCCTCTTTTTCATCCTCCTCTTCCTCACTGCCAGGCTCCAGTTGTGCTTTCACAGTCATCTCTACCTCAGGCTTCATCGCATCCCAAAGATCAGCTGCTGTGATGACTGCAACTACAAACAAAGCTAAAATCTTACAGCTGGAAACAATTTCTGCAGTGCCAGCGATAGTGACTCCAGGCAGACTAGAGCAAAAGACTGAAAGCAGCAATTCAATTAGAAAAGAAACATACCGAGCATTTGCTCTTTCTGAGCGTCTCTCATCTCTTTTAATTTGGCCATCTCTTTTTCCAGGGGCTTTTTCAGGTCCACACTGCTCAACTTGACATGGAGAAAACAAAAGCAGGTACATTTGATCTATGTAAATAGTTAGGTACCCTAGTGTTTAAAAGTTTAGGGTCAGTAAGATTCATTTTAAAGAAGTCTCTAATTTGATCAAAACTGCAATAAGACCATAATAGTGAAATATTACAATTTAAAAATTCCCTTGTTACGTTTTAGCATTTTCAAATGCAATTTATTCTTGTGATAGCAAAGCTGAATTGTCAAGCAGCCATTGCTCCAGTCTTCAGTGTCACATGATTCTTCTTATCAATGTTGAAACAGTTGTACTGCTAAATATTTTTGTGAAAATATATATTTTTTTTTAATCGAATGAGTTCTCACTGAATAAAAGTATTTAAAAAAAAAAATAATAATGGTAAGTGCATCTACCAGATGTTTTAATTGAGCATATTTGTACCTTGCAGCTGTAAGGGTTATGAGCAATGAAGGCAGCCAGCAGCTGGATAGCACTCTTACACACATGGACAGACTTATCACCCAGACGCCCAACGGTCAGCTCCATAACTTCAGTGTACCTGCACAACGGCAAGGCCTGGAAAGGGGGGTGGGGGTGGGGGATTATATCTTAGAGCATCCAAGAATAAAACCCTTTATTTTCTGTTGAAGAGAAAAGGGAAAACAACCCACACACCTTGCTGTTGACAATGCGTGCATAGACCTGTAGCACACGTGCTCGGACATGTGAGTGGGCATCATGGATGTGCTCCTGCAGCGTGTCCAGGAAACGATCTCGACTTGCACGAGCAGAATCACCCAGCTTATCACCAGACAAAACCCGGACAAGAACCTCACCGAGAACCTCACACACAGCCACCCGCAGGCTGGGACTCTGTCCAAACACAAACCGCATGTTAACAGAGCACACACAGTCACATTCAAAGAAGAGTT